TACAGCCTATGAAATGGTTTCTGAAGGTCACAAATAGATTAATGAATGCTCCAACACCTTCATTAGGTTCATAGATCTCAGTCACAGATAACCTGCAATTTTATGCATTGAATTCTATAGCCAACACCTTTGCTTATTGTGATTTTCCTTTAGCAAAAATTTAATCTTAGTTATTCATACTCTGACTAGAAGTTGAGTAAGGCCAAGTTTCTTACTGAAACTAGACCGATTCTACTTTGTCCAACAAGAATAACAAAAATCTCAGAATATAAATAGTTGAAGATACTTTTTTCCTACTGTAAATGGCACACAGATGGTGCCTAACTGTTCTCTGAATCAAATCCAAAAGTGTGCAACATCCTCAGAGGGAACACTGAAGATGGCCAAGCTTCCACAAAAATCTTTAGAACGTGGAAAGGTTTTTCAGGATTTTCAGATTGAAATTGTATTCTCTCAAAGTTGCTTGAAGAACAAAAAAAAATCATTTTTATATAAGAAATAATTTTGAATAACATTTAATGTTTAATAAAGCACTTCATTTTTACATTGTTCCATAGATAAGAATATTCTCAAACCTGGCTTTACACGCTCACAGATGGAGCTTTTAACAATTTTATTTCTATTTCACTCTTTCTTGAAAGATTTATCAAACTGTTTCTAGAATTCCACCTAGCTACATGTTTTACTTTCTTGCATTTCATTATTCTATCTTTTCTTTCATACTGCCTCATTTTTGATAACTTGTCTTTATATTTACACTTAGAACTTGAAAGTGATACAGAAAGAGAGACTCAGGCAAATGAATGAGATAAAGGTAAACAAAAAAGGAGCAAGATTAGGGTATGTCAATCACACGATTTCTGTAGAAGTGATGACACACACCTTAGGCATTTGTACACAAGCCCACGATCACACCTATTAAATGATCCATGTGGATCCCTTGGGTCGGTGATCTAATATTATCTATCACAGAATCAGGGATGACTTGAAAACAGTCTTGGAAGACTGAAGAACATAGTATTACATTAGAAGATTTTTGCAGCCCCCAAGAAAATGCGGAAATCCAAGTTCCCATAATCAAATAAGGAGTTCAAATAAATATACCTCAGTACAATTAAGAGATAGCACTTTTTTCTTGCATGAGCATGGTAAGATCTACTGGGGTGTTTCTGTTCAATATTTTCATGAGGTATCCCTCTGCTATGTCTGTCTTCCAAATGAATGACAAATGGTCTCAGATTCCAGAACTCATTGGCTAACCCAGAGTGACAATGAGCTGGTTCTTACATTTTCTTCAAGAAGTTTTAGAGTGGTTTTGCTATAATATTTAGTCTGCAGTTCTGAATCTTGATTTTATTTACATTGTTGTTTTATTTGTTTACAGAGTTTTTTATTTTTTATTTACATTGTTTTATTTATCTTATTTTATTTACATTGTTGTTTTATTTATTTACAGGTTGTTTTATTTTTTCATATGATACCACAATGTGTCAACATAATTTATTGAATAAACCTATTTTCTCATTGAATTATCTTAAGGTTATCTAAAGATAATTAATATATATATTAATTATCACAGTCTGACCTGTGCTGACTACTTATATGATAGTTCTGTTCTAATACCACACTGTCATTAGTGGTCTAGTTTTATACTATATAAAAGTTACGTAAGTAACTGATAACTTGGGTATTTTAAATACTAAGACATTTTGTCTTATTTTTTCTTTTTTAATATCAAATGTTCCAAATCCATAATGTTTCCATATAAATAAACATGGATTCTTACAAAATAGTCACTTTGGGATCACTTTGGGGATAAATAATATTTTAATAATATTGAGTCTTTCAATCAATAAACACACTGCATAGCTCCACTGTGACTTCTCCCAAAAATATCTTAAATTCTTCAAATTTCATACCTTATATATGTTTTGATAAATTGATGAGAATTTCACATTTTTATGCTGTTACAATATGGTTTTATTTCCTTAGAATTCCATATATATAACCACTAATTACTGGTCTATAGCTATTCAACTGATATTTTAAAAACACTGACTTTGTACTTTATGACCTAGTGTTAATAGGTTCTTAATATTAGTCCATTGTTTTATAAATTTACACTTATGAATTTCTATGTAGTTATTGAATAGAGGTGATAGATCAGAACTGTTTTTCATTAAAAAGAAGCATAATATCTGTAGATTTTTTTATTCTACCAATTATTGAGAAAAGGGTATTACAAATCCAAAGCTATGATTGTTGATCTGTCTATTTCTCCTTGCAATTCTATAAGTTTCTGTTTTATATATTTTTTGCATTTTTTAATTGTGAAAATACCATACAGAGGGGTTACAATTACATGAGCAAGATAATGAGTACATTTCTTATCAGGCATTGTTACCTCCTCCTTTGCATCCCCTTCCCATCCCTTCCTATCTCTCAAAGTTGTAAAATTCGTTTTTTGACATAACGTCTTGTACATTTTAAGGTAACATTATTACTTGATTCAAATCCTACACTTAGGATTACTAGACTTGTTATGACTTTCAGATTAATTAAAAAAATTTTACCATGAAATTTTTCCTACCGTCCTTTCTTCCTTCCTTCCTTCATTCCTTCCTTTCTTCCTTCCTTCCTTCTCTAATACAAATTTATCTTTGAGTTATACACAGATGAGTTATCTGTGTATGCAACCAGAAGTAAAATCATTCTAGTTGGGAATAAGACTGTATCTGTTCATTGTGATTGTTGTTTTTGAGACAGGTTCTCACTATGTAGCCCAAAATGGCTCAAATTAAAGATCCTCCTGCCTTTGCCTCCCAAGGGATGAGATTACAGGCATACGACATCATGCTCGATTGAAAAAATGTATATCTTTTTTTTCTTTTTTAAAATTTTATTGTAAAGGTGATGTACAAAGGGGTTACAGTTACATAAGTAAGATGATGAGTACATTTCTTGTCAAACATTGTTACTTATTCCTTTGTTTTTCTCCCACTGTCCATTCTTCCCCCCTCCTCCCCATCAAGTTGTAAAGATCATTTCCAACATTGTGTCTTGCATTGTATTGAGTCATCCTTTGTCTTTGTTTCACCGTTTTGTTATTCCCCTTCCCTTATCTTTAGGGGTTAACTATGATTGTAATTTTGCAAAATATACTCCAAAGTTTCACAAAATGGCAGCTAGATTGTATCCTTAGACTTGCGAGAGGTCAGAAATTATAGTATGTATTTGGAATTATTAGTGGTTCCTGAAAAAGTTAAGATGGTGTGTGAGAAGAGGATCCCAGGGACTAAGACTTTAGTCCCTGAGTATTGTGGGGGAAAAGTTCATTGTGTAGATCAGCAGAGGTCCAAAGGTCAACTTTCAAAGGGGAAGGTTTGTCTACAGCCACTTTCAAATTTTCTGTTGTAACACATCTAAGACATTACTGACAACATCTTCTATGTTCTAATTTATGTGCCCTGAACCAATGTTACTCAATTTTAATTGTGTTTCTAGGCACAGGGTTTATATTTTCAATCATGTTACTTTTGGCCTTATAGCTTTCTTTTTTTCAAAACTAGTGTATATCTGTATTTTTATCTCACATACAGTTTGTCTTTGAATTATAGTATTTAAGCCATGTCTATTCAATGTGCTTATTGGTATGATTGAGCTTAAATCTGTCATCTTGCTATTTTTTTTTCATAGATACACTTTATTAACACCAACACAATTAGCCCCATGCATTAATCTTCAGTAGGAGCCCCTCTCTAGTAAGAGCTCTGCTTTATCTTTTTCTTCAATAAATTTTGCCATTTTGTTCATGGTCTCATTTTTGGACACTGATGAGACAAATTAATCCAAGTGTTTCAGTTTTTCAGTGTCAGTAACAGCCTTCAAGGTACAGGCTACTAAACATTTCATTAAACACTATGACTGGCAGTTTAACAGAAAGAAGTACCTTTGTTTTTCAGAAAAAAAAAATCTAAACATGCTTTTACATAGAAACTACAGTATTTCAGAGCAAAACACCAACAGCAAGCACAACTTCTCATAGAAATGAATAAATATTGAGCCTTATCCCCAAAGCATCTCCATTCCATCAGAAGAACATTTGTGATGGTTGTGGAAAAAGAAGCAAAGGCTTTCATCTTACTAAAAGCTTTGAATTTATCTCAACCATTTTGGTATTTAAGTCTTGTATGTTGATACCTATGAATGTTTCAAAATGTTAATTCATGTCTTCTTGGAACCATACTACTCTTCTCAAAGACTAGAATAACTAGACATGTGCTAACTCCATCTCTGACTTACGTAATGAGCCCGATAAAATCACTTTAACTGTTTTAAGGTTTACCCATTAAATAATAAATCAGACTAGCTCTGCAGCTCTCATGAGGTGAAGAATTTAAAAATGCCTTGAAAGAACCAGGGTGCTGGTGATTTTTGTCTCCAATGCTAGATACTCTGGAGGCTGAGATACTGAGGATTGCAGTTTGAAGCCAGCCTGGCCAGAAAAGTCCATGAGAATCCATCTTCCAAAACATAGTAAAAAGCAGGCTGACGGCATGGCTAAAATGGTAGAGCTAATAAGGAAACCAAGTAATGGGCCCTGAGTTCAATTCTCTGTACTCCCGAAAAAATGGGAACTATATTAAAACAACTTATTTCTACTGGTTTATAAGTTCTTCCATTTTGATATCTTTAAAAAATAATTTTGATATATTTGAGTATAAATGAAATTATATCTTTCTTCTTCTGATGAAGTACAGAACTATTTTCTTCTCTAAATGATTTAATGGTTTTCATGTAATCGGAGGGAAAAAAATACACTCATAATATCCGAAGAGTGACAAACAATTGTTTTCACTGTCTGTTTAGTCTTGTCAGTATCCACAATAGTGACCAAACATCCATGTCCATGTGTTTATCCAAAATATCCATAAATCCCATGCTTGATCTGTGTGTCATGAAGTCAAAGATACATGATGGCAAAGTAACTGGTGTTACCTTCAAGCAACGCGAAAGGCCTTCCCTTTTGGGTCTACCAGGATAACTACACCCCAACAGGCAATGCTGATGCCGATGACCATCTGCATAACGGGCCCGGGGCCTGGGGCCAGCCCCATCTTCATGGGCCTCCGCGCCAACAGGTACACGTAGGAGCCCGCCGCCAACAGCCCGGACCCGGAGATCAAGCGACAGCTCCAGCAGGTATTAAATAAAGTAGCTGCCGCGGGAGGGGTCGGTGCTTCCGCCGAATCTGCCGGCACCCGGTTGGCAGCGGTAGGAGGGTCCGGAGACTGGGACGAAGAAGTTGAAGACCCCATATTGCGGACGCGGCCCAGCGCTCAGCGCCTAGGCTTTCTTCATCTTGCTATTTTTATAGCGTTTCTTGTATTTTTCAAATCAATTATCTTTAAGTAGTTGTACAAAGAAGTTGCCATTTAACAAGGCAGTTTATGAATACAGTGCAATTTGATCAGTGTCACCTCCTTCAACATTCTCACTCTCCTACCCCTTCCTTACTTTTTTGAATTTTGTATTATAGACATTCAATTCTTGACTACATTTTCCCTACTACCTTCTCCTCTTCATTCATCTACCCCCTCCCCTTGGTCCCGTCTCTGTAGAAGTACCCATTTCCTGGTGTTTATTTTGTTGGGCTTTGATTTTGCCTAAGGAATTAACACTGAGTTCTCCCTTGAAACTAACATATTTAAAATATTTGTAACTTCAAGTGCTTTTTGTTTTTTTTCTTCTTTCCCTGAGCATCTTTTGAATTGTTTTAGTAATCTTATTTCGCTTCACTATAGATTATTAGCTCTGTATCTTTGTATTCTTTCTCTGTTCTGTATTTTACAGTCTGCATTTCTAACTTACACATTTCTTTCAAATGATAGTAATTTGCAAAACTGTAAGAACTTTTCAACATTATGTTTCTATTTCTTTCCTCCTGCCATTTATACTTTTGTCATATATTTTACTTTACACATGAAAAATACTGGAATATTTCATATTTGCCCACATTTTGACTCCTTCAGGCATATCCTTTCTTTTTATTTAATAAGTATTTTTCATTGTGAAAATACTGTACAGAGGGGTTACAATTACATGGGCAAGGTAATGAGTACATTTCTTATCAATCAATGTAGCCTCCTCTTTTGTTTCTCCTTCCCATCCCTTCCCATCTCTCGCCCCCCCCTGCCCCCCAGCCAAAGTTGTAAAGTTCATTTTTCAACATAACATCTTGTATATCTCATTGTTGCAATGGGTCCACCTGTATCCCTATTTAAACGATTTGTTTTTTCCCTTCTCCTCCCCAAATTATACCAACATCGATTCTTTGTTGCTTTGTATGTCCCTCCCCCATGGTATAACCCCTGTTTTCACTGTATTTGATGTTGGTATAATTTGGGGAGGGGAAGAGAAAAAACAAATCGTTTAAATAGGGATACAGGTGGACCCATTACAACAATGAGATGTACGAGTTGTTATGTTGAAAAACAAACTTTACAACTTTGCAGGGGGTGGATCGAGTGGGGAGCAGGGGGGAGCTGGGATGAGAAGGGATGGGAAGGGCTAACAAAGGAGGAGGCAACAATGCTTGATAAGAAATGTACTCATTATCTTGCCCATGTAATGGTAACCCCTCTGTATGGTATTTTCACAATAAAAAAAGTTAGAAACAATAGCAAGAAAGAAATACCATTTGAGTCCTTATCTTGGGGTTCATTTCCCCTAACATCAACTTATCTGACCATTTCTGCTTGTCTCACACATATACTAGTTATTGCAAATAAAGGAAACCATGGGACCTATGTTTCTTTGGGCCTGGCTTACTTCACTTAATATAATTTTTCCAAGTCTTTCCGTTTCCTAATAAATTGGACAATGTCATTCTTTCTGATGGAGGCATAAAATTCCATTATGTATGCATTAATTTTCTTGATCCATTCATCTACTGAGGGGCATCTGGGTTGGTTCCATATCTTAGCTATGGAAATAGTGCTGCAATAAACATAGTTGTGCTGGTAGCTTTAGTATGGTCTTGTTTGTGATCATTCAGGTAAATGCCCAAAAGTGGGATTGCTGGGTCATAAGGAAGCTCTATGTGAAGTCTTTTGAGGACCTCCATACTGCTTTCCAAAGCGGCTGAACAAGTTTACACTCCCACAAACAATGCAGTAGGGTTCCCTTCTGTTCACATCTCCTCCAACATATCCATTTCTTTATGAAAACAGACTTTTCAATTGACCTCATTCTTTTTTACTGCTTTAATATTACTTGTAATGCACATATGCTGGTCTCTCTGAGTTTTGGGTTTTTAAATTTTTGTACATTTTTTATTATAAAAACACTGTACAGAGGGGTTACAGTTACATGAGCAAGGTAATAAGTGCATTCCCTGCATTGTTACCCCCTCCTTTGTTTTTCCCCTACCATCCCTTCCCTCCCCACCAGCCTCAAAGTGGTAAAGTTCATTTTTATCATAGTGTCTTATACATCTCATTGTTACAATGGGTCAACCTGTATCTTTTTTTAAAAACATGTTTTATATTGTAAAAATACTGTACAGAGGGGTTACAGTTACAAGAGCAAGGTCATGAGTACATTTCCTATCAAGCACTGCTACCTCTTCCTTTGTTTTTCCCCTACCCTCCCTTTCTTCCCACCTCTACAACTACACTCCTCCCTCCCCACCTAAATTGTAAAGTTCGTTTTTCAACATAGTGTATTGTACATCTCCTTGTTACAATGGGTCAACCTGTATACCTATTTAAGCATTTTGTTTTTTCCTTTCCCCTCCCCAAGCTAGAGAAGTATATATACAAGATGCAGGGCACTGACATCAAATACAGTGAAAACAGGGGTTATACTGTGGGGAGAAGAACATACAAAGAAACAAAAAAAATCCCATGGTACATTATAAATATGTTAGAAACAATAGCAAGAAAGAAAAAAGATATTTGTGTTCCTATCTTGGGGTTCATTTCACTTAACATCATTTTATCTGGTCATATGTACATAACTTTTGTCCTTTTCTGCTTATATCAAGAAAAATATTGTATATTTTAATCAATGGGATTCTATTCCTTCATCAGAAAGAATGACATCACCCCATTTGTTAGGAAATGGGAAGACTTGGAAAAAATTATATTAAGTGAAGTAAGCCAGGCCCAAAGAAACATAGGTCCCATGGTTTCCCTTATTTGCAATAATTAGTACATGTGAGTTTTTGTTTTGAATCTAAATTTTACTTTGAATTTTTCTTTTTTTGTGGCACTATGGTTTAACTCATGGCCTCAAATATGCTAGGCAGACATTTTGCCAGTAAGAAACTCTTCTAGCTGTTTTGCCTTTATTTTAAAAAAGATACCTTGTAGGGTATAGAATTTTTTGTAGGTTATTGAATTCTACAGATGTTAGTTGCTTGTTATTTGCTTCTTTACTTTCTGATGAGAAATCTGTCATTAACTATGTTCTCTGTTTCTTTTTTATTCTGTAGTTGTTTTGACATTTTTTCTTTATTTTCATTTTCTTAGCATTTGCACCCAGATATAATGAACATATGTGGATTTTTTGGAGACATTTGAAATCATTATTTGTTGGATTCAGTCAGCATTTAGCAAATTCTTTTTGAGTATTTCTGTGTGCTCTGTGGCCAGGTTCCTCTGTTTACTTTCTGGGATGTCAATTTTAGATATTTTATAGAATTTGAAGATATCCTACAGTTCTAAATATTGGGTTCTGTTTTCTTTCTTTTTTTGTTTATATTTCAAAATTTATCTTATGAACTCATTTAGTTCTTTTTACTGTGTCTTGTTTTCTGTAAGTACAATCAGTGGAATTACAGATGACTTCGGCTTACACTGATTCAATTTACAATTGCCTGATTTCATGATGGTGCCAAAGCTATAGTATTCAGCCGAAGCTGTTGACATATTTATATTTTCCTGAGCTGTATGATACTCTCTCACAATACTGGGCGGTGTGAAATAAAATTTTGTCTCTAGCCAGCCACAGTGTGCCATGATGCTAAGCCATGAATTTTCAGTATGTTAGAAGAATTAAATGCTTCTGAACCTCTGGTATTTTCAAATTACCCAGGCTTATCAGGATAGAGGCCTACTGTGAGTCAAGTAGCATCTGTGTTTACATTGCTATCAAATTTTTCATGTTAAGCATTTTCATTTTATTCTTTCATCCTGTCCACCTTCCTACTGAAATTCCTCTTCTGCTAAGTATGTTACACATCTTTCCAGTGGATTCTCAAATATGCTAGTCACTGTTGCTATAAAGGCTACAAGACAGTTCCAGTATCTAAGACATCGTTATTTCTGTTTCTGCCGGACATTTTTTCCCCTAGCAGAGTAATTTTCTAGATTTTATTTCACTTTTCCCACAAACAGTATTGCAAGATGTTGAATCAATCTCACCCATAATCTCAGAACACCACAAGCTGCAAATAGCTCCAGGAAGGACTGTAGTGTTCTACACTTTATACTTCAGTTAGTGGACTAGATGGAACATGCTTACAATTTTATTTGGTGGCTCTGATTCATCATCAGTATTCACCAGGCTCTACTTGAGACAAAGAGAATATATCTCTCTCCAAATTTGAACTTTACCCAAAGCTTGCTACACAATTCAAATGGTTTTGTGCCCTCTCTCCCACCCACCCACACACACGGCAAATATACATAAAGTTAGGCCTGGGCTTGAACTGTCACAGCCACCGAGTTTTTGTGCTCAAGACTAGAGTTCTACCACTTGGGCCACAGTTCTACTTCTGGTTTTTTGGTGTTTAATTGGACATAAGAGTTTCACAGACTTTTCTACCCAGGTTGTGTTTGAACTGCTATTCTCAGATCTCAACCTTCTCTGTAGATAGGATTATAGACATGAACCATTGGTCCCTGACGTAATACATATTTTTTATGTATAGTGCATATATGTGTAAATGTATGTGTGTATTTATGTATACACACATAACTTCTTATTGCATGTAAAATTAAAACGAAATGTCAAATATTCAGCAATGAGGTTAATTTTATAATCACAGAATTACGATGTTTAAAGTAAATGTTAAATTTATTTAGTTAAATTAAAAAGTATCATGAAAGCCAGATTTACTATATACTAATGATAAAAGTGGAATTAAGACTCTGTCTAAAACAAGAAATTATTTGTTTATATAGACTTAGACTTCATAATCATATACATATAGTCTACCACTAAATCCTTCCATAAGCATGTTTTAGGTATTAGATTATTAAATGTAAGTCTACAAAAATCCACAGACTTTCATGCAATCGCCTTGTGCTGG